TCCCCTAGAAAGGAGCATGTAGTCTAGGTCTCTTTGTTAATAAGACTCACCGTTTACACCCTTTATTTTTACATTGCCTACATAAAAATAAACATAAATAAAAATGATCGCTTCTAACCTGCAGCCTGGGCTTGTTTTTCCTACAGGCCACTTAAATGAGCAAAACACATAGTGTTTGTTTTTCTTCTGATTAAAAGAACTCTTCACCCCTTGTAGGACAGCTGAGGTTCTGTGGTTTCAGTTTTGTAAACTATATATGCAATAGCATCATTGTGTCTGTAACTACAGAACTAATTTTATGCTCTCTTATGACCAGACTTGTTAGAGCTCCTAAGTGTTCCTGAGGGGGTGGAATTCAACTGATGCTCCTTTCCCCAATAACAACTTTATCAGTTTCCTTAATGATGGAAATCTTTCTTGAATAAGTCTTGTGTAAGGAGGCATAACGTATAGTATTGTTCTTCTTTGTGTGTGTATTTTGATTATTAGGGCAAGAAGATAGTAACTCTTTTTGGAATACCTAAATCTTATAAAATTAAAATAAAAGGGTCCATAAAGCACAAAAGTATCGTATGTACTTGCCATGTTAGCAGATTGGTTTTCTGAGATCTTAGCAAGATCTTACACTTTTATCTGTTTAGTTTGGTTGGGTTGGTTTGTTTTTTTTTTCCTGATGAGTCCTGAGGCATCATTTCTTAAAGATGGAAGTAATGCTGGACAAAAAGCTGTGCTTTCATCATAGCTATACTTTGATTACTTTTTTTTTTTTTTTTGTAGCAAATGATATAACAGATGCTCCACCATACTTCTAAGTTTGCATAAATGGACATAGGCACTATCTCTAATTAACTAACTTTAATGCTATTTCTTTTTAGAATTGTTTTAATGCCTTTTTTTGAGGGTTTACCAGATAGGTTAGAATGTGTGTTTATTTACAGTACTTTTGTGCTGGTTTTGGCTGGGGTTAAGCCATGACAACTTTGAGTGCTGTTTTTTAACCCCCTTAAATAGGTGGGAGAAGGGAATCAATGATGGATGAAACTAGGTAGAAGTCTAAGATACAAAGTCAGCCCTCTGGTACACACACAAAATACTAAAATGAGTAGAATAAATACCAGTCCTTTGGCCTCACTTAGCCTGTGTAGAAAAAATATTCATAAGCAGTGCTCTACGACGATACATTGAGGAACAAAACATTCATGATTAAAGTTGTGGTGGTAGTAAACTTTTTGTAACCTGAGTTCATGTATAAAATAAGAAATCTTTTAAGAAAAAGTGAATCAACTGTCAGTGTCTCTTGGAAGAAGTGGATTGTGGTTGGAAGCAACAATTAGGAGACGTTAGTTTAAACATACTCTTACCCCTTCCCCCACCATCCCCTTTTTACAAGGAAGCCTTCAGACAGGGCTGTAAGGGAAATAGCATTTTTAATTGTCACTAGATACTACTGCAATGAGGTAAACTTTCTCACTGCAAAAGATGGTTTTAATTAAACAGAAATCCTAAATCTCCCTACCTATTACTGAGTTAAACCATCTCCTGCACTCCAGATTTTTGTCTCCTCCTGCTGGTTTTCCTGTAGTACTTTTGTGTTCTTGAGGTGCAATTGTTTCTTCTTGTACTTTCTGACCCACCCATAGATGTAGCAGGATGTTACAAAGCTGGTATCCTTACCTTGTGGGCTGTTTGCATTCGCTTGGAGAGCGTAGTGGAGAGTGCCATCACTGGAGATGCACCATCCTGTTGCGTCATCCACACATGAGATAACTGCTAGAGAAGTTTTATTCTACTCAGAGTTGGACTTCCCAAAGGCTTTAGTATGAATTTTGCTTACTTAATGCTGAAATACTTATTTCCCATTTACCCTCTTCTCGGGGGAGGGGGGGAGGAGGAGGCTGTCAAGAAGAATGTTTTATACCTTTTAAGGTCACTTACGGAATCCATTTCTGTGTACATCCTTATAACTTTTCTCCTTCTGGTCTTCCTATATGAAAACAGGCTCTCTTAAATTGAAATTATTAAATGGTGTGGTGAAGTATATAAAATTTTCCATTTATTTCATGCCATCTGTCTCACAGTCCCTGATTTTTTTTTTACTTATTTGTTTGTTTACTTACTTATTTTTAAGATTTCCTGTCCTTTATTTTAGAAATTTAGTTCTTCCTCCTGTTAGTTTCTGTGTTTCTGTTCCTACTCTCAAAGCTTAGTCTTAAGCAGATGATGGTACTTTGTATGCTGGAAACCAATACACTTTTAAATTGCCATGCTGCCCCACAATGCCTTTACTCAGTTTTGTATGCTTCCAGGTTTTCATTTTATTCTCAGTGCTTGCAGTTGTGTACAGAACAGCATCATCCACGTGTACCTAACTTCTAACGCTAAGCTGAAATTTAGAAAGTACCGGTTTGCTGCTACAGTTTCTCTATTTCGGAAGCAGTGGAGAGTGCCTGTGGGTCATCTACAGCTAGCCCCATTTTCTAAGTGGTATTGGCAGCAGAGCACAGCAGCTGAAGTACAGAAACCTCTTCCTAAGTGGCTTGAATGTGGGGTTTGGGCAGAGGCAGACTTGTTATATTTGAGATGTATGTCATGGTCTTTCTCTTCCTTACTGGCTTACAACTCTGCTCTTCTAACATGCTTTGGTTAACATGTTGCCTGGTATTTCAAGCCACTGTCCATAGTAAGAATGGGTCTTGCAGGTAAAGATCATGTTGCCCTTGAGATACAACACAGCCTTTTTGGGGGAGAGCGCTGCTCACTTGGATACTTGGGGCACAAAGGACAAGAGGCAGTTCTCATAAAGGCAGATCATAAAGGTCCTGCATGTGGAGATGGAGGGATCCCTGTATTGTAGCTACGGACATCCTGTGTTGAGGACAGGATACCTTTCTTCGAGCACAGACCAACCCATATGCATCCCATCCTTCCTTTCTCATCCTTGCTTTCCTTTTGGCAGTGTGAAGATACCACCTGAAAGGAAACAGTTGTCTGATTCCT